TCAGATGGTAGTTGAGTATATAGTCTCTATACTTGATCTATCTTCTTTTTTTGTAAATAAAAAAAAAATTACAAGAGCCAATGGCTGGTTAACATGATTAAATGAATTCATTGATGGTGGCTTCGAGTTTTTCCTTATTAGCTCCAGAAAACTCACCCACCTGTTAAGAAAATATTGAATTAACATTAGATGGTAGCACTGTTATCTCTACTTTGTGCTTAAGACATGATCACAGAATGGGGGGAAACTGGAGGCAAAGGAGAGGTATAATCTTATTAAAAAATAACACCTTGGAAAACACAGTTTTAAGTTGACATTAGATGGCAGCACTGTTACCTCTACTTTGTACTTAAGACATGATCACAGAATGGGGGGAAAACTGGAGGCAAAGGAGAGGTATAATCTTATTCAAAAATAACACCTTGGAAAACACAGTTTTAAGTTAAAAACTAAGAGAAAATAGCCCAAGAACAGGCAAAAGACTCAAATACCTCTTAACAAAGACAAATGTACTTCATTATAGAACAGGAAGTACCAATCACAGATTTAGTGACTGGGTCTAGCAAAGATCAGTTTTCAATTAGATGCCACATTATGTGCCCCAGTCAATGAAGAGTGACCTGGTTGGGGGGAGGGGGGAGATAGTTGGAGAGAGAATAAAAATAAAACTTAGTATTGAACTTTGACAGAAGCACAGAATCCAAAACCGGATTCTTTTTTCTGTTGTATACTCCATATCTCAGTATTAGGCCTTTATTTAGCATATAAAAATCGACAATGAATATAATGCTAACACAAAACCCTAGTTATATTCTCAATTAAAATTCTTACTAATACGTACTCTCCTCAGAGGAGCACCAAGGAAGGAGCTGAATGCTACTTGCATCAGACACTATCAGATAACAGCTTATTGAGTCAATAAGCTGTTTAGTCCAATTATATCTTGGCTATTTCATGAATCTCATAAAGCAACAAATTCTTTAACTGTACTCAGGGTTATAATCCCAGCTATTCCTCAGAATTAGCACCTCTATCTTTGCTCCTAGTTTTTCCAGATTTATTATGGGAATGGGGTACAGAGATGATCATAAAGGCTAAAGACGAGTGTGTGAGAAAGAGGAGAAAATGGTGAAAAAATTGTTCAAGAATAATGTCACAGGACTCTAAAGGGGCACGCACTGGTTCTTGTTTCTTTTATGTTTTTACTTAAAATTTTACTTGCCAGTTCTCAAACCCGGCTGCATGATCAGAACCGCCCGAGGGGCACTATAAGGTTGAGGCCCATCTGATGCTAATGGTACAACCTTCGTGGGCCACCCAGCTTTGAGACAAATGGGCAAACTCAAAACACGATAAATCGGGCTGGTGGGTGCCTATCTTCCTTCTCCCAGATGCGGCTCTTCCCACATCTAAGATTTTTCTGCAGCTCAAAGGCCATCAAGCATTCTTCAGTTTTGTCACAGGAACTTTTAACACAATACTCTGTTCACATAAGGTTTGGAGGGAAATGCCATGAAAATAGTCTTGTTTGGACAAGTGTTTCAAGTGAAGGCTGGTAAGGGTTGGACAGTGCCCGCTTGGCACTCAAAAGAGGATCAGGTAAGAAAAGGAGAACCGCAGAGCCCCTAAGCAGCAAAACCGTGCAGGGGAGCAACCCAGGCAGCAGAGCCCTCGAACCCAGATCTCGGAAACCAAAGAACTGTCATGGGATTTCCCTGGCCACATTATTTCAGAATGTCACGGTCAATCTCCCCAAGATGTCAGATTGAGTTAGCCCAGTGGTCGGCAAACTCATTAGTCAACAGAGCCAAATATCAACAGTACAATGAGTGAAATTTCTTTTGAGAGCCAAATTTTTTAAACTTAAACTATATAGGTAGGTACATTGTTATTAACTTAATTAGGGTACTCCTAAGGCTTAGGAAGAGCCACACTCAAGGGGCCAAAGAGCCGCATGTGGCTCGAGAGCCGCACTTTGCCGACCACGGACTGTTAGACAAATTCAGGAGTCTGACATTTTAATAGTACTGAGTCAATATTGCAGGAACATAGTATTCCTATCAAAATCCTCTATGGACTTGACCTTTGCTATCCAAAGTTAATGTTTTACTTTTATCACTTTTATTTTCTTCTTGTTCTATGGACTGGTTTGCTATTTCTGTAGTGATTGCAAAGTCATGCGCACTTAATAACTAAGTAGCTGCCTCCGAGGTTTTGAAAACATTCTTATCACTTCCCTCTTAGAAACGAAAAGCCAGCCTACTCCCCAATAACACCTCCACTTCCTGTTGTGTGTGTGTTTCTTTTTTGGTGAACAATCTGGAATTGTAAACTTACATACAGTAAAATTCACTTTGGGGGTGTGTGTGTATGGACAAGTTCTGACACTTGCAGAGTCATATGAACACCACCAAAACCAGGACACAAAACGATTCCCTCTCCCCCAAAATTCCCTTGGGCAGCTCCTTTGTAGTCAAACCCTCTGCTCACCCCACCTGCTAGCAACAACCGACCTGTTCTCCATCCCTACAGCTTGACCCAGTCTCTGATTTTTATTAGTAAGTGTAACAAGACTACATTTTACCTGGTTAGTTTCATTGGCTTCTGGCTTACACTCCATATAGCGAAATAACTTTAGACCTGCTTTTGTCAGTTCTATTAACTCATTTCTGGCTGTTCTAAAATGTTACAGAACTCTCAGGGCTAACTCACTTGTTTCTTGTTTTAATTTACCGAAGTACCATGCCCCACAGAGAGCTGGGAGCCCACCATTCCCAAAGGGTGAGTATTCGTACTTCCCTGTGAATACCAAGTTTTCCTTGTGCACCACATTCTGTGTCCATGCCTCCTAAAGCCCGTGTGAATCTATTACACCCAAAAGGTAACTTCTTCCTATCCTAGGCTTTTCAGAGCCTTCTTTCAAAACTGTATGCTGCTTGGTCCAAAGACATTATAAATGTGTAAATTAGCCTGGGTCTGACGTTCATGGCCGGGAGCGACCTGCATATAAATTTTAAAAACTAATTCAGTTATTAAACATTCCATCTATTGAATGATATGATCTAATGTTCAGAAATGAGACTAATGTAATTTTTCCCCCTTATCGGTATTCTTTTAGAGTTGAAATGAGGTGAAGGTTTTACCTAGTTTCCAAGCAACCAGAAGACCCACTCACGTAATTCATGAATTCCATGGCGAAACCACTCACTGGCTGTTTAAGGAACTGCTTTTTGTTTTAATGACCAGGTGAGTAGGAGCTGACAGAGACTGCAGCTATGTGTTATGTGGTGATCAAAGGGTTCTGAAATTAATTCAACTTTTACCTCTGCCACAGATGAGGCTATTTGGGCGGTTGTAATAGCCGCCATTAAAGGTATTCGATCTTTAGAACAGGGACGCAAAGTGAAAGGCCCCCAGTGTGTGCGTGGGGCACTTCAAGGTTTAGAAACTCTCAGGTGATGATGAGTCTGCCAACCAGACGCGGACGAGCAGCTCGGGCACACGGCAGTCCTGCCTGCTCTGCACATCTGTGCCCCGAGGCGGTAAGAGCGCTGGGCCTCGAACCAGCACGGGGCAGGGCTCAATGCGCCCCCCGCCTCCCCCTACTCTTGCTTGATTAACACCTCTGTGCTACAGTCCACTATCTCTTCAGTGGGGATGCTAGGAAGCTGCTCTCATCGTTCCTGTGAGGATTAAGTGACCTAACGCCGTGGTCGGCAAACTGCGGCTCGAGAGCCACACGTGGCTCTTTGGCCCCTTGAATGTGGCTCTTCCACAAAAGACATGTGGGCGCGCATGTACAGTGCGATTGAAACTTTGTGGCCCATGCGCAGAAGTTGGTATTCTGTGGAAGGGCCACACTCAAGGGGCCAAAGAGCCGCACGTGGCCCGCGAGCCACAGTTTGCCGACCACGGACCTAACGCGTGCAGAGCTTCCCACAACATCTAGCACGTGGTATTGCTTTCCAATAAAAATGTATTCAGTTGCTTTTTGATAGGGTCAGCACCAGAAGTTTCTCTCAAGACTTTAAGTTGGAAAAAACCCTCGCTCCTTGTTTTAACCGAACACATACTATCTACTCTCAATTCTTTTTTTCCTAAAACTATGCAACGCATCAGAACAATAGCTTGACAACCATTCTTTTTATACCTACTGCCTGCCAGGAAAGTGTGCTTAGTGAAGAAAGAGACTAACAGTCAAGGATAGACACAAAGTGGCCGTTATAAAGATTCAGTGAATGTTTAACATGTGCCAGGTATTGTTCTAAGCGCTTTCCAGGTGTTATTTAACCCTGATGACTATCCTATGATGTTATGTTAACATTTCCACTTTACAGAGGATCAAACTGAGGCACAGACAAGATAACCAAGTCTGTACAGCTAACAGGTGACAGAGCTGGGGGAGAAAGCAGGCAGTCTACTAGGTAGAGGATCCACCCCATTCCACAATCATAAATGCAAGAGGAAAAGGTGCTGAGGACACCCTGGGGACAGAGGAAGGGAAACTGCCCTACTCTGGGCATAAAAGGGGGTAGCTGGAGAAGGGTTCCTGGAAAGATGTGAAGCCTGCAGCGAGTTCATCAGCTACAAAAGGCAAGGCTGTGCCCAGCAGGCCCAGCAGAGAATACAGTGAGAGTGAAAGGATGCGTGTGGAACTGGTCAACGTGCTGTGGGAAGGTCCTCACAGATTTAGAAAGTATAACCCTCTACCCACTTTTATCGACCCTTTAGTACATTCCATAGTTGCTCAATGAATATGCAACTTCGGCCAGCTGATGGGGCAAGGATTAACACCTGACCATAGCGAAAAACCAAGGCTCAAGGAAGAAGGATTAGCCTGAAGCAGAAGTCACTGGGCCAGGACTGGAACCAAGGTCTAGCGCCTCTGCTGCCACATCATAGCCTAGACCCCTCCTGCCCACTGGGGCGGGGGGAAATGCCCACCTGTCTCTAAAGAGCGCCTAGTGAGACGCCTTAGCTGGCTCTCCCCATTCAGTGGGCTGTGAGAGGGACACAGTCCGTGCTGGAAACCTGATCTGCACCCACCACACCACAGAGCGGCCTCTGGTGGGAGAGAGCAAGGGCTGGGAAGCCAGCGACCTCATTTTAAACCCAGGCTCTGCCACTGCACCTCCATGGACCACCTCACACCTCTGTTTTCCTCTTCTGTAAAGTGGGGTGGTAACATCAGGATTTAAATGAATCAATACTTGTAAGAACAGTGCCTGGTCCATAAAGTGCTCAACAAGCATTTGTTAACTCAACCAACCTGGAATCTTCCCCTTAATTATTCTCTCAGCTCTCTACTGGGCAACTTGGTGTTTGTTTTTTTCCTTTAAAACCGTTGGGTTTTCTAATTGACCAAAATCAACTATGACTAGAATAAGTGTGTGAATCTACTTTCTCATGTCATTACTTCACAAGAACCTTAAAAGTGGTGTCCACGTTTGGTGATAACCATCAACTCTATAGTGTTAGGTAGAATATAAAGGTTTTTAGAAGGTAAATTACTGGGAAGTAAAGTACTAAAGCCTTAGCTATCTATTTTTATGCTTATTTTAGGATACATATACCTCCTGATATCGGGGATTAAGCTCATGGTTGGCACAATTACCTATTCTTTCAAAAGAAAACCGTTTAGCTAAGTAGCATTCCAGATTTCCAGCCACGTACCTGACAGTCATCCACATCTATTTCAAGGAACACCACGTTGGAATACTTTTCAGAGAGGGACTGGAACATTTTAAATGAAAAAATACACAAAGAATTAGAACTTGTTAATGGCAGTTAATACCCAACCTTCTTAAACGAAAATGTAATAAAAGATGCCAAAATTTAGACTAGGGACAAGGGTAAGCATTAAGGACATATATTTTCTCTGAATCAAATTCCCCCTAGAGGAAAATAACTCGAGGCCCCAATTTCAGAGAGCGGGGCCCATGTTTCAAAATGAAAGCAAAACCAGTTAAGACAGTGGTTCTCAACAAAAGGTCATATATTGTCTCTGAATCAAATTCCTCCTAGAGGAAAATAACTCGAGGCCCCAATTTTAGAGAGCGGGGCCCATGTTTCAAAATGAACTAAAGCAAAACCAGTTAAGACAGTGGTTCTCAACCTTCTGGCCCTTTAAATACAGCTCCTCATGCTGTGATCCAACCATGAAATTATTTTCGTTGCTACTTCATAACTGTAATGTTGCTACTGTTACGAGTCGTAATGTAAATATCTGATATGCAGGATGGTCTTAGGCGACCCCTGTGAAAGGGGTGTTTGACTGCCAAAGGGGTCGCGACCCACAGGTTGAGAACCACCAATTTAAGACAACCGAATTAGCTTTTAAAGGTTGTCTTCAATGGGCCACATGTGTCAAAGCTAACTTACTTAGGTTGTTACATTATTACTTTTAGACCAAAGATCAGACAACAACCGACCCACAAACTATTGTTGTTTTTTTTTCTAGGGTCGTGACCACCAGCCCAAAGAACAGAAATCTCTTAAACAGCAGAAGGTGTTTAATACTCACATGAAAGAAGGGCTTGATCATCTTGCAAGGCCCACACCACGCGGCGGAGAAGTCAACCACGACCAGCTTATCTCCTGCGCTGTTCAAGGCTTCCTGAAAAGCGTACTAGGGGAAAAGAAAGGCGTGTGTTAAAAGGCCCCAGAAAAACCTGACAAAATGTGACACAAAGCACAATTCAGAGGTCCGGGAAGCAAAGCCTGCCTTTTAATAGAAAAACCCAAAGAAACTGCTTGAAAAACAACAAAAAAAATCCTTTGGTGTTGTTTGTAATATTGCTTGATAAGATGAAACAAGTATGTGTATAGTGTATCAATATTCATGTGTCTATGAATATTTTATAAAATATTAGTCTATAGCCAAACTAAGGAAAAAATAGACATTTGTATTAAAAATGTTTCCACAGCAAATCTAGGCACAGTGTAACCTCGTTTCTCAAACTTCATTCGTTCCAGAAGGCTGTTCGAAAACCGAATCACTTTTTCCCATTAGAAATAATGTAAAGCGAATTAATCCATTCCAGACCCCCAATGATTCCGTTTTAACCTTTCTTAATATACAGTATATGTCTATTCTGTTTAATCTATAAATGAATACTTTAAATACAAAAAGGACATGAAGTGTAAATGAAAATTTAACAAAAAGTAAAGGAAATGTACAGTAAAAATGAAAATTTTACAAATTATAAGCAGCAACAAAAGCAAAAAAACCACAAAAATATTCACAGCACAGTATCCTGATATCTTAACAGTAGTGAACGGACTGATATTTGTGCAATTTCTCCTTTGTCTGTCTGCCACCTGAGAGATGTGTGACTCCTCATACAGGTATCCGCATGAAAGGGTTGTCAGGTTGAGAAGTGAATTGTTCGAGAAACCAGGTTCCGCTGTATTTTGGACACATTTACTAAATGCTTAACTGGTGAAAGGGGATCACCTGAATTAAGAAGTCACAAAGACACAGAATTTTGCTATCTACAACACAAGTTTGTTTGTGTCTTTTAATCTAACACTTTTTTCATTAAATTAATATTTCCTATGGTGGAACTTTCCAAAAGCAAAAGAAAGGAAAAGTAGCCTCCTCCAGTCACTGGCAACATAAAGCATATTTCCTTGTATTCTTTTTAACAGAGTTTCCAGAGTTCAGGTCAGAACTGTGTATGGTTGGCTTCTGCCCTTTATCTCAAAGCTCTGCCCTCATTGTTGACCAAATGAAAGCCAGTTCTAGTTCCTCCTAAGGAATGCACTTTAAATAAAATGCCAGGAGCAGAAATGACCAAGAAATCCCTTACCACCAACCTCCGTGAATAATTTACTGATGGTCTTGATACTGTAACCCTGGGAACCTAACCTTTCAGTTAAGAAACTCATTTTAACCACAATTAGTCAGTCAGTGCTGATCAAAACCAGGGCAACGAAGAGAAATCAAAACACAAACATCTACATCTAAAGTCTAGGTTTTTTTTCAAGGAGAAAATGCGGATCACACTGGTTTAAGGAAAAACTAACGTTCCCCTCCTTTGACAGCTAAGAATCAGATTAGATCTGGACCAGTAGAAAGGGAAAGTAAATTCCCTTTACTTAAAACCTCAAGTGAATTCCCCTGAAGTAGTTACATCTCTAGATTTCTAATTTCTACTTTTCTGGGAAATAATTCACAAATGGTGTTTCGAGAATGGCATGTCATTACTTATGTACCCTTTTCAGTTAGGCGGGTACAAACTGTCCCCCTTCCTTTGGGGGTCTGTGGGAGCATCAAGTTAGAATGACAGGACGTGGCCCTAGCTGGGTAGCGCAGTTGGTTAGAGCGCCATCCTGATAGGCCAAGATTGCAAGTTCCATCCTTGGTCATGGCACATACAAGAATCAACCAATGAATGCAGAAATAAGTGGAACAACAAATTTCTCCACCTCCCCCTCTATAAGGTTTGGTCAACAGTAGGCTATTTGCGAGGAATCAAAAGTTCTACCCACATTTTCAATTGTGTGGAGGTTGATGTCCCTAACCTAACCCCTATGTTATACAAGGGCCGACTGTATATTGTTTTGTGAACATGGCTGGGTCTCAGTAAATACTTGGTAAGATTACTTTCAACATAGAATATTATTTCAAAAACTCTCAAGGAATTCCCCCAAACAACTCAGAATCAAATTCCAGCAAAACTACCTAAAAATCTGAAAAGAAAAAGGCACGCAATAGGAACTTTGGGCTCAAATGAACCTGAGTTAGAGCCTGGTATGTGTAGACTTCACAACCATTTCTCGTCTCCATATATTTAAAATTTACCTAAAACAGACATCAGTTAGAAAATGATTCAAAATTACCTCACCAAGAAGCAAATCACAATCCCTAGATACCAGAAACTAAAAATGAATATTAAAGGTCCTCTTCAGTGACAAATATTTTAATTTTTTTTAAATCAGTTATCGTTACGTATGAGCCCAGTACGTAGTAGATGCTCAATAAATAAATAGCAGCTGCCCTCGCCGGTTTGGCTCAGTGGATAGAACATCGGCCGCAGACCAAAGGGTCCCAGGTTCGATTCCAGTCAAGGGCACACACCTCGGTTGCAGGCTCCTCCCTGGCCCAGAGCCCTGGTTAGGGCACATGCAGGAGGCAACCAATTGATATGTTTCTCTTACATCAATGTTTCTCTTGGTCTTTCCCTCTCTCTTCCACTCTCCCTAAAAATCAATGGAAAAATATCCTGGGGTGAGGATGAACAAAAAACAAAAAGGAGAGGGAGAAACAAAGACTTCAATGTGAGAGAGGCACATCAACTGGTGCCTCCTGCATAACCCCCTAGTGGGTCAGGGAGGGGGGTTTGGACCTGGAAACCAGGTATGTGCCCTGGTGGACTGGGAATTGAACCTGAGACCCTTCCGCGCTTGGGCACTCTAACCACAGGGCCTGACACAAATATTTTAAAAACAAGTTAGGCGGGGTACATAAATAGAAGCAGAGTCTAGCATCTCTCCTTGTTTCATTACATACAAAAACAGGGAAAATAAATTACGTTCCACAGATAATTAATGAAAGCACAAGAGTAGTTGGTAAAGCATTTAGCAAAGTGCCTGTGTTCAATAAATGGCAGCTGTTATTCTTTAAAAAACAACAATAATGAAAACGAAGAAAAGAAGCTGTGTGATTTCTTCCTCATGGAATTATCCCAATTGTATCTGAAATAGATGCCGGTGGCTCCAAGCTACCAACACCCCAGGAAGCGCTGTTCTGGAAAGCCAATGGCACCAAGTCCACCAAGACGAAAATCTCAAGTGTATTTAATATTTACAAGTAACATTCAAATTAGTTCACTTTTATTTTTCCTTTTAATACAATGTATTGACCTTTTACAGAGAGGAAGGGAGAGGGACAGAGAGCCAGAAACATCGATGAGAGAGGAACACCGATCAGCTGTCCCCTGCACACCCCCGACCTGGGATGTGTCCGAAACCAAGGTACATGCCCCTGGCCAGAATCGAACCTGGGACCATTCAGTCCGCAGGCCGACGCTCTATCCACTGAGCCAAACCGGCCAGGGCTGAATTAGTTTACATTTTGACTAATGACTCTGGATTGTAAATCTGAGGATCCACTGATTACCAGAGCCTAATGTAGTGCTTCTTTGAGGAACAAATTTCTTACCACCCTTCTCCATCTCACTGATTAGGGGAGGAGGGTGCCATAAATAGGACCATGAAAACGGAAAAACTGAAAGGTGTGCTCCCGGAATCACTCAGTTTTCTGTCTGTGCTGTACGGATTCTGAGACTACTAATCTAGACTTCCTCAAAGTCTTTCCACTCCTTTCATGGGTGCTCACCTGTTAGGTTACCCGGAGGTGGCCAGACCCTGGACGAAACCCCCCACCCCGTAAGCTGATGTTTCTCATTCAGTAGGTATTAAATAAAAGTCTGCAGAACAAAAATCAATATTAAAGACCTCTGCTTTCAACAAATGAGAAGGCTGCTGATTTTAATATAAATGCTCACAATTTAAAAAAAATGAATCCCAATAGGAAAATAAAATCATTATGGACAAGCAGATACTAGACTACAAATAGCCAATCAACACGTGTGGGAGAAGAAACGTCAGTCAGTCACTAGTAATCAATCTGAGAAATTCCAATGAGAATGAGAATTTTCTTACTAAGGATCTGGCCAAAGTTATGCGGGAAAGTCAGCGATGAAAGGAAAGGGAGGGGCCCTCACATGCTGCTTGTGGCAATTACAGGCCTTCAAGGTTCCCACCCCTTAACCCAATCGCTGCACTCCAGCCCCTAAGCCCAGCACAGGGCGTTATGAAAACAGTCACCGAAGCCACAAAAACTGCCTCAATGCCCAGCAGTGCGTTCAGATACGGACATGGCTACAAAAAGCTTCTGATTACATGTAAACCGTTCAGGCTAAATTAGACAGGAAAATAAAAGCTCCGAAACAAAATAGCATATAGACATAACGCAATCTCAATTACTTTGTGGCTTGTAAGACATAGCAAATCCCTCTCTTTCCAATTTTTCTACAACGATCACATATATATTTTCTGGTTCTAAGAGTGACAACAAGGTAAGGGACCATTACAGAAAAAAAAGAGAGGTTCTCGAAGCCCGCCCCGGCATCTAAAGGGTCCAGGGCACTCAAGGTGGGCGCGGGCCAGCCTTTGGGTAGCTTCACTGGGTGGGAATATCGCGGGGTAAATGCTTGAGGTTCTTGCACTGTCCGAGCGACCTCAATTCTCTCCCAGTCACTTTTCTGAATCTGCATTTAACAAACATTTCTACAGTATAACGGACGCTACGAGAGGCTCTTGAGTTTTCCAGGCAGGGGGGTATCTGTCTGGCAGTAACTTTTTTCCCTGGGACATCCTAAAAGGATGGACCCACCGACTGGGTCCCCGAAAGCTGCTCCC